GAATGACTAAGGAACGAGCAAACAACAAAGATATAAGCACATAACCCTACGACTAACAGAAATGTACACCACATAGACTAAACAACACAAACTATAACAAATATAGTTTGACACACACCCATAGTCTAGGTGACGGTAGTGATGTAAAAAGCAACACACATCTTAAGGTGGATAACAAAGTCACAACGCAGTCTGAGAGTAAGTAAGGGCCACAAGGCCAGTCAGCAAGAACAACCAATGGTCATAAGACCAGTCAGCAAGGACAAGCAAAAGGTAAGAGAAGTAGCTCAAGGTAGATCACAAAGTCACCACACAGTTTGAGCGCAAGCAAGGGGCCACAAGGTTGGTCCACATGCAGGTATATAGATATATAGAAAAGAAATGCAAGAGTACAAGACAAAGCAGCTCTACAAAAGCAAGAGAGAACCTGCAGACAGAAGGCCAAGCTGCGTGCAGAAGCGGTGGTGATCACAAGGCGGCAACGCCTTTGTGAAGATATCCGCAGTGTTGGCCTCCGAGGCCACCTGTACTACGCGGGCCTGGCCACAATGCTGCAAATCTCGCAGAATGAAATAACGAAGCCGGATGTGCTTCGCCTTCCCAGCCAGTCAAGGCTCCTCGCACAACAGGATAGCAGACCTGTTGTCAGCGAACAAGACTGGGGGAGAGCGAGGCCGCCCACCAAGGTTGGTGAGAAGGAAATACAACCATCGGAGCTCCTGGGAGAACGGGCAGGACCGCTCACCAGCTGAGCCGGCGTAGTCAAGGCGGTGGGAAGAGGCAAAGTCATCGACAGCAGCAAGAAGAGTCGAGAAAAACGATAGAGGAGTAGGGTGTGTGACCAACGAGGACAGAACACGAGAGACGATAGGACGAGCAGCACGACGAGAGTCGGAAGCCGGAGCGGGAAGTGCAGGAAGGGACGACACAAGAGGTGATGGAAGGACCGGGGGAGGTGGAACACGGGAGCGGAAAACAAGGTGAAACGGGCCGTCGGCACGGTAACGAGACGGACGAGGCTCTGGGGACACAGCACGACTGGGAAGAGTACGACGAGACCACGGGGACCGGGAAGGGGACTCGTGAGGAGGCATAGGAGGAGACGGCTGGGGACCAGGGAGGAAACGTGCAAGTGTGGGGTCAGGAAGCTCTCGCTGCCGCTGCTGCTCCGCCTTCTCCGCCGTCTACTACGGCCGCACCTGCTCCTGCTGCTGCTCCTGCTACTCCGGGTCCTCCTGCCGCAGTGGCAGCTGTCCTGCTGCTGCGGCAGTGGCTCCGCCTCTACCAACTCCTGCTGTTGCTGCAACTGCACCTGCTGCTGTGGCTGTGACTCCTCCTCTACGCTCTCCTGCTGCGGCTGTAACTGCACCTGCTGCTGAGGCTGCTGCTCCTCCTCTGCCCTCGAAAACCTCTCCCGCTCCTCCCTCTCCAACTGTAGACGACGCTGCTCACGAGTCTGGTAACGTACGGTAGGCTGTGCAGGCGCCGCAGGGTTAGCGCCTCCAGTTCCAGCACCCCCAGAACCGGAACCTCCACCACCAACACCCTCAGTGCCTCCCCGTACCTCCCGCAAGAACACCCTGAGACTCCTCAGTTACCGGCTGTAGAGACGAACGAGGAGGGAACTACGGAGCTGTAGGGAAGCCAAGGGGCGAGTCAGCCGTGTCCTCCACAGGAGGGGCCTCGGCGCCCACACCTCCCGCACCCCCAGCGCCCACACGGCTCGCTCCCTCCGCAGGTGCACCTCCTGTATCCCCAGCAGTGACGGGAACCGGGGCCGGAGACGACTGCCGGGTGAGGTGCGACACACCTGAGGGAGCAGGACACGAGGGGGTGGGGCTATTGGGGGGCAGCACTCTGCGTCACTCTACGGGTGGCGAATGTACGGAACCCTAAAACGAGCAAGCAACGGGTGGGGCGTCGATGGTGGGACCAGCCATAGCCTCTTTAACCTCGCGACAGCAAAAAATTGTCACTTACCTCTTGACAGGTGTCTGCCCGAGATTGACACTCGCCTTGTGGATGGGACACCTCTGGCGATTTTGGAAGAAACACGGACGGTGCGGATTGAGTGCGGGGATAATTTCGGCTTCAGCATGAAGTTTCTCGCGACAACTTTGGATGGATGCGACGTGCTCATGTGACGCGATTGGTTGCGACGCAGAGTGACGCAGAGTGTTATTCCTCGGTTGTCCTGGAGCGTTTTAAACACTGAGTCGAGGTCGCGGAGGTGTTGTTCGCGTGTCCTCCTAAAAATCAGGATATCGTCCAAGTAGACGACGACACACTTGTCGCTAGGTAATGCAATCGACACGTCAGCAATAGGCCGGCCTACTGCAACCCCTCGAGCCACCCGAGCGACCATAGCAACAGGTGACAATGGACTTTGTCACGGGGCTGCCAGCTGGCACGTCCGGTAACGACGAAGTGTTTGTCGTCATTGATCGCCTCACGAAGATGGTGCACTTCCTTCCGTGTCATACCACCATCACAGCCAAAGAGACTACTCGCCTGTTCCTCTCAACCATTGTTCGACTTCACGGAATCCTGTCGGCGATCGTTAGCGACCGCGACCCGAAGTTCACGTCAAAGTTTTGGAAGGAAACCTGGGCGCAGTACTTCTCACGACTACAATTCTTGTACCAGACCGAGCGTACCAGTCAGACGATTGAGCAGCTCATCCGCACGAACTGCCCCGACCCCGCTCACCGGGAAAATTCCCTACCGATGATCAATTTTGTGTACAATAACGCCCCATCGAGCACGACCAATCACTCCTCGTTCTTCCTTAATAAAGGAATAGATCCAGTGGTACCTACAGCGGTGACTCCTGAGAACCCGGCACCAAGGTCACAACATTTTGTGACGGAACTCCAAGATATTCGCGAGAAATATGTCGAAGCCATTCGTAAGGCAAATGCGACAGCTCGGAAATACTCTGATCTACGGAGATTCACTCTACAAGGTAGTGAGCTAGACTACGGGGGGGGGGGGTTGGCACAAACTACTAGGAGTGATCGTAGCTTTTCTTAGTTCCATAGCGCTTGCACGTTCACGGGAGAAATCGGCAAGAGTTTCCACTAGGCAAAGATTACATTACAGAATAATTGAACAAGCAATGACAGAAATGACTACATCAGGCACCTAGCAACTCTGCAGCTAGCCTGGTCGACCGCCAGCACAGCATGGTCGACCGCCTGCCAGCGTCGCGTAGAGGAGCCGCGCCAGCACTGCAGAAACGCGGCCTGCCAACACAGGAGGTCGACGGTGTGCCAACGCTGCAGTAGAGCGGCTGTCCAGCGTTGCACCCGTAGAAGACAGCAGTGCGCATGCTCGCAAGTGCGCGCAGACGATTGGCCTGACTTGCACCGTTCTGCATCTGTCGGCTGTTGTCTGCGCCTGACGAGCCACGTCGACTTCGGGATACCAGCCCGAAGTCGCCTTCGTCACCGCGACCTCGACGACGTTCGCGTGCCTCCGCAGAACTCGCCGAGCAGGTTACCTGGTCGACCTGGCCGACCACCAAGTGCTCTGGTCGACCACCAAGTGCTCTGGTCGACCACCAGATGCTCTGGTCGACCACCAAGTGCTCTGGTCGACCACAGCTCCCGTCGAGGAACACCCTGGTCGACGGACCCCTCTGTCGACCAGCACTGCAGCTGCTGTCGCCCGAGCTCCCCTCGTCGACTGCTGCTCACATGTCCTACGCAGGTCGACGGACTGCTCCGTCGACCTCCCCGTCGAACTGCTCCTCCTGGTCGACGGCCCACCCGTCGACCAGCCCAGTCAGCTGCAGCTGTCGAGCTTCCTGGTCGACGGCTCCAGCCCCGTGACAGGCCTGTGCAGGTCGACAGCCACCTCAACGTCCTGCCCAGTAGAAGAAGGCCGTCGAGCACCCCTGGTCGACGGCAACGCCACAGTGATCCCTGCAGCTCGACGAAGCCCGTCGAGCAGCTCCTTACTGTGAACGGTCGGCTGCTTCTCCCGTACATCCGACCAAGTCGTCGGTGTGCCCAAACGAGGGCGGGGCCAACACTCTATTCCCGTTAACACTCCCCTGCCGCGCTCACGCTTGGGCCCCCAGCCCACACGGCAGTACTCCACGGAGAAAACTCGTCCTCGGCGTGCACCCCACACACAGCACGCCGTCACCGCACCAGCCGTGCAGAAGGGCACAGCACCTACTGCTGCACATCATCGTCCCCATCGCCGACGTCGGCCAGAAGCACTTGGCCGATGGCGACAGAGCACCGGTTGAAAGCCGGAAAATGCAGCACCTTCGTCAGGAAGTCTGCCGGCTGCTCGGTGGTCGGGATGTATTTCAGAACAAACATCCCGCGCCTCACCATGTGCTGCAGCCAGGCGTAGCGTCGCTCCATGTGCTTGAGGTTGCCCGTCAGCCCCAAGCCCTCCGCGACAGTGATGGCCGAATTGTTGTCCACACGAAGGACAGTCGGCTTCCCAGCGTCGAGCTGCTGGAACTCCGCAAGGAGGAAGCAGAGTCGGCGTCCCTCCTTGCCTGCATCCGTGGCCGCCACGTACTCTGACTCGGTCGACGACAATGTCGCGCACTTGATGCGAGAGCTCGACCAGGAGACAGCGGCCCCTCCGTAGACGAACACGTAGCCGCCCGTGCTCGTCCGGTTCTGCTTGTCGCCCGCGTCGTCGGCGTCCACGTATCCGATCAGCTCCAGCGACTCTGGTCCACTGCCAAACTCCAGGGCGGTGTCGCGGGTCTCAGCGAGGTAGGCAAGGCAATGGTCGACCTCGCGCCAGTGTTGGTCGATCCTCACTGTGAGGCCGCTCCCCGCTTGCTGCAGGCGAAGGCGATGTCCGGCCTCGTCGTCGTCGCCGGGAATTGTAGCGAGCCAACCTTCTACCGGTACTCCTCCTCCTCGCGCCCCTGCGCCTCCTCGTCGTCGAATGTCAGCTCGGTGTAGGCGTCGACCGAGACCGGCGTCTTCGGGATGCGCCCACCTTGCTCCTCGTCGATGAAGCGCCTACGCAGCTTGTCCGCGTAGCCCTGCTGGTGCAGCCACAGCTTCCTCGCTGGCCTGTCGCACACGATCTCCAGCCCAAGGTACTTCACGACCGGCGAGATCTCGCGCAGCTCCAAGGCGGCCTCCAGCAGCTCCTTCAGCTCCTTCAGCATCGCGGTGCTGCTGCTGGCGGCGAGCAGGTCGTCGACGTAGACCAGCACCCAGCAGGTCACTCCGTCATCGCCGGCCTTGAAGTAGAGCGCCGTGTCGACCTGGCTCTTCTTCCAGCTAGCGCCCAGCAGCACACTGTCGAGAGCCCTGTACCACAGCAGCGGCGACTGCTTCAGCCCGTAGAGGCTCTTCAGCAGCTTACACACCCGGCCGGTCCCATTGTCAAAGTAGTCCGGCAGGTACATGTACAGCACCCGGTCGAGCTTGCTCTGCAGGAAAGCGTTCTTCATGTCGAGCTGCATCAGGTTGAGGTCGAGGACGGCGACAATGCTGAGGAAGATCCTCAGCGTAACGTAGCTGCTCACCGGCGAGTACGTCTCGTCGTAGTCGGCGCCGTACACCTGCGTGAAGCCCTTCACGACCAGCCTCGCCTTCTCGCGCTCGACGGTGTCGTCAATGCGGTACTTGGTCGTCAACACCCATCGGTTCTTCATGATGTTCACCCCACGCGGGCGTTCGACCAGCTCCCAGGTGCCCATGCCGATGGGGCTGCGGATCTCCTCGTCCATGGCAGCCTTCACCGCCTCGCCATTCCAGCTCGCCAGCGCCTCCTTCACCGTCATCGTTGCGATGTCCCAGCGGTGTTCGGGGTCGGCATGCACGTCGGGGTCGAGAACCTGCAGGTCGACATCATCTTCGGCGTCGTCGTACTGCAGGTCATCGTCGGCGTCGTCGTACACCGTGGTGAAGGCAGCCGGTGGCAGGCATGCGTGGTAGCTCAGCCAATTTGGTGGCCTCCGAGTTTGACCTGAGCGTCGCAGCTCAGGCTTCTCGACCGGAACCTCCACCACGTCGCTGTCGGTGGACTCTTCTCCTGCCGACAGTTCCCTTTCCTCGTCGACGTCGTCATTGTCGACCAGCTGCTTCGCCAGCATTGGACCTTCGCCCGGCTGCTCCCCTCTCGACTGCACCTCTGATGTTGCCTCCTGTTCGACCGGCTCCCCTGTCTGCTGCTCCCCTGTCGTCGACGGCTTCACGAGCTTGGCGCCTTGTCGGCCGCTGGCGATGCCACTGGCCGGCGCCACAGGCGACGCCACAAGGCTCCCCTCATCGCCGGTGGCCGACACAGGTGTCGACGCAGGCCGATCTGCGACGGGGATGGGAGGAGCAAGAACATGGGGAGGAGGGAGAACTTCCTCGATGTCCTCATCAGAAGGCTCGTCGACCTCGAGGAGCAGCGGGACCGTCGCCGTCGAGATGTCCGTCGGCGGGTGTGCCTGCGTCCGTCCCGACGCCGGCCCATACTTCGCCTTCCACACCTCCAGCGACAGCGTCTCGTAGAAGATCACCTCGACCGACGTGACCACCTTGTTGTCAGTCAAGTCCAGCACCTCCCAGCCCTTGCTCTCCGGGGACATGCCCAGGTGAAGCCCCTAGCGAGCCTTCGGCGCCAGCTTCCCACCGCGCTGCTGCTCGGGAACCATGAACTGCACCATGCAGCCCCACACCAGCGCCAGCGTGAGGTCAGGCTTCTTCCCGGTCAGCAGCTGGTACGGCGTCTTCCCCGGCGGCGTTGTCGACCGCTCCAAGCAGTTGCGCACCCAGACAGCTTGTCGTAGAGCGAGGTGCCACCAGTGGTGCTGCACGCCCATGTGCAGCAGCATCGTCCTCACGGACTCGACGGCCGTGCGCATCTCCCGCTCAGCCATGCCGTTTTGCTGCGGAGTGTAAGGGCACGTCAGGTCGTGGACGATGCCCTTCCCGTCGACGAAGTTGGTGAACTCCTTCCCGAGGAACTCCCCTCCCCGGTCGGAGCGGAGCATCAGCACCGACGGTTTCGTCTGCCGTTCCACCAGCACCAGCCACTTCTGGAACTCCCGCAACACGTCGCTCTTCTTAGCGATCGGCACCACCCACACGAACCGAGTGTGTCGATCCTTCAGCAGCAGGAAGTACAAGCTGCCATCCTTGGCAGCAACTCGAAATGGCCCGCACAAATCAATGTGCACGACAGCCAGTGCCTCCTCGGCGTCCGAGCCTTTGTCGGGGAAGGTGTGCCGCGCCAGCTTTCCTCCGACGCACGAGACACACGGCGGGTCCGCTCTGGTCGACGGCTTGATGTCGAGCCCCGTAGCAACATCATGCTTCGCCGAGCTCTTGATCGTGTCGACGCCAACGTGCGCGAGCCTCGCGTGCCACCGGTCGGAGGTCGACTTCGTCGCCGAGATGATCGTCCGTAGAGCCACCACCTCGGTCGACGGCGACCGCGTTGAGCAGGGGCGAAGGTCGGTGTAGAGGACCCGGCCGGCGTAGCTTGCTCGACCGAGCACTTCCCCGGTCGCGGCGACGAGCAGCATCTCGTCGCCGTCGCCCTGCAGCTGCACTCCGCTCTCCTTCAGTTGGCCAGCTGACAACAGGTTAGCCTGTACACTTGGAACGTAGAGCACGTCGGGAATGAGGACCCGCTTCCCGGCCTCCCCTTGCAGAGAGACGGTTCCGCGACCCTCGACAGGCTGCAGCGCCCCGTTGAATCCACGCACGTGCTTCATACCGTCGCTCGGCGCCATGTCTACGAAGACCGCCTTCGTCCCCATCAAACGGTGGGAGCAACCGCTGTCGAGCAGCACCGCCATCGGGTTGGCTTGCACAGCTGCCGCCACCGCCTGGAAGTCCTCGCCAGCCTCCGGCGCTAGCGAGACCGTCGGCTCCACTACGCCGACCATCGAGCACGACGCCTCCCCGTCGTCTCGGCTCTTGCCGCTGGAGTTCTCCTTGCGCGGCTTCTCATTTCGACGGGGGCGACGACTGGTCGACCGACCGCGGCCTCCCTTGTTGTCGTCCTCGTCGTTGTCGTCGCGGTCGGGGCACTCGTAGGAGAGATGGTCGGGGTCGTGGCAGATCCAGCACTCCCGCCGTCGACCACCACCTCCACGGCCCTTGTCGCGCGTCGACCTCTTCTCATCGACCTCTTGGGCTTCGTCGGTGCAGCGTAACTCGCCTGCGGAAGGAGCTCCGTGGGCTGCTCTGCCTCCTGCATAGCCTCGTCTTGAAGGACGTAGCTGGTGATAGAGTCCTCGTCGGGGGACTCACGCGTGCCGGGCACCATCATCATCCTCTTTATGAGGTTGTAGCTGCGCGGCAGGCCCTTGACGACGTGGGTGATGTAGGACGCCGTAGAGTATTCGACGCCCGCCATCCGCATCTCAGCCAGTATCCGTCGAGCACGGTTGCAGTAGTCCGTCGCCGACTCCTGCTCGCCCATCCGAATGTGTGTCATCTGCTCCTCCAGCTGTCCGATGTACAGGTCGTCCTTCGCCTGCTACGTCGACAGGATGAAGTGCCATGCTTGGTGACCAGCGTCCAGTCGCTCTCGACAGGACCTGAGCGCTAGCTGCACCACCGGCGAGCAGCACCTCGAGATGACCATGAAGGTGAGCAGGTGAGCAGCACGAAACTCCCTGCGCAGCTCGACATCGTCCTCGGGCGGAATTGGCACGGTGCCATTGGCAAAGCCCTTCAGCCCGGCGACCTCCAGCTGAGGTTCTATCGACTCCCTCCAGGTGATAAGGTCCCGTCGACCTTGCAGCGGTGTGACGGTGATTCTGTCCGGCGAAAACTTGAAGTAGCCATACGCCGGTGCGATACCTCCCGCCGTCACGTGCGTCGTCACCAAGAGCCCTCCACCGCTTCGTAGAGGAGAGCGACGTCGGCACACGAGCTGCTTGCAGCCGCCGTCGACCACTGCACTCGCGCCTGGCTCCTGTCGACGCCACCGTTGACCTTGATCACCCCTCTCTGCTTCGTGCCTTCGCTGCCGCTGACTCGTGCACCGCCGTCGACCTCGGCGTCGACACCACCTTCGTTTCGTACCGGTCGAGGAGATGCAGGACGGGAAGGGTGCTCCGTCGCCCACTGCGCCCAGATGCCAAACTGGACGATCGCCAAGGGGACCTTCCCGTACTCGCCATCCTCAATGAGTTTCCGCGCATCAGCCAAACGTGCCTCCAAGGTGTCCGCTACGCCCGCTTCTACAACGGGGTCGACCATGGCGACAAACGCGGCTGCCGGCCTACGAACGACTTAGTAGGTGCAAAAGTCGGCTCCTATCTGAGGGTAATTTGCGTGGCCGTCCACGCTCACCGCACCATGCGGAGATTCACTCTACAAGGTAGTGAGCTAGACTACGGGGGGGGCGGGGGGGGGGGGGGGGGTTGGCACGAACTATTAGGAGTGATCGTAGCTTTGCTTAGTTCCTTAGCGCTTGCACGTTCACGGGAGAAATCGGCAAGAGTTTCCACTAGGCAAATATTACATTACAGAGTAATTGAACAAGCAATGACAGAAATGACTACATCAGGCTGTCACGATAATACACCGACCATGAGGGCGGAGTACTGACCGAGCCAGCAAGGTTTATTCGCCGTAAGAAGGCAATCAGCAACGCGCATTACGAGGATACTGGAGCGGCTTCAAGCGAGGCAACATGGGCTGGGGTGGGTCAGAGGGGTGAGCAGCGGTGACACGAGCTGCACTGTACATACTTGTACGATAAGCGAGTGGCGAATCCGGGTGTGCTTGCGTATGAGGGGTGGGGTGTGGTGTGCATGTTTCCTTTTTGTGCAAGCTTGTAAACGTCTTCCTCGCAGGGCGGAGGCTACCAACGAGTATAAAGGCAGCAGGTTCGACAGCTGGCGGGGGGTTGCAAGGCCACATGCAAGGCAGTGTGACACCTAGGCAAGGACCCCAACTGGAGCTAATGCAACTGCAAGCCGCTGTTGACATGTACATAGCGCTCGGTAGCGCGAGCTGTGCTTGGAAGTGATGTTTGCTTGTCGTATACTGCTGAGGATCAGGTGCTAGGATTTGGGCTCATCTTGTACATAGTCCTCCTGAACACTAGTGTCTGATGCTTCGTTGTATGTTTTCTGCTTCAGCAATGCAATCTTGTTAAACCAAACACGAGCATCAGTGCCCAGGCGGAAGCCATGAGTCAGCAGTATAGGGGTTAGTGGGATTTTCTGACATACAACGAAGGGAATCTCACGAGTGGACAGAGAGAGAGCAATGTATGCAGCTTAGGTCAGGCAGACGATACGAGGTACCGCCGCAAGCCCCAATCATGGCAATTCCCAGCTGGCTGGCCGGAGAAGCCGCAGGGACGGAAGGGAACACGCCCGGCGGAGGATTTGGAGGCCGCGCGGGCGGCGAGATTTACACGGCGCCTCATCGGAGGCACAGCCTGGGCGACCTACCGAGCGAAAGCCTGGGCGAGCATGAGAATACGAGGGGACCGTCGTCGGCAAAATTGACGGCCACCGGAGTAGCGGTGCTCAACACGGAGGATGAGGCCACGGACACGGAGCTGCTGCGGCAGACGCGTCACCTGTCTCTCTCGGAACATCGGGGCACAGAAGTGATGCGTGGGCCAGTGCGCTACGCTGCCTTGCCCAAGATCGAGGTCCCCGAGCGTTTCACGGGCACGCCCGGGACGGGCAGCACCTTGAAGAACTACATGATGCAGATACGCAACGCGCAGTATCGGTGGATGAAGGACGGACTGGAGCCTGAAGACTTCTTCCGAGGTCTATCCATACCGCGTATGGCATGGAGCTCGAGCGCATGCTGGGAGAATCGGCGCAGGCGGCGGGAGTGACATGGGAGGTAGTCCCGCAGTTCTTCGCGACGCTGCGTCGGCACTTCCCGGTGCTGACGCCAGAACGCATGCGGGAGTTCGCATCGTTCCGCCGCACGCCGGGGGAGTCCCTGTTGGCGAGCTACGGGCGGCTTCGGGAACTCGCCTCGGACATGGAGTGCAAGGATGAGTGGAGGCTGGTAACGAAGTTTCTCACCAGTCTGGAGGAACGAGTGGCAAGAGAAGTGCGCGGGAGAATTTTTGAGATGGGGCCGACCGCGACGCTCGAGCAAGCGTACGAGCTGGCAAAGAAACATGAGCTGGGACTGCGCCTCTACGAGATGGAACGAGGCGAGGCGCCGGCGGAGGATCGGCGTCGAGCGGCGTGGACGGCTGTTACCGCTGGGGACTCTGGGATTCGGCGGGGAGGACGCGAGGCAGAGACTCGGAGGTGCCACCGCTGCGGCCTGGAAGGACATCTGCAGCGAGATTGCACCCGTGCACCGACATGCGACCACTGCAAGAAGGAAGGCCACTTGAGGCAAGAATGCCCTGAGGTCCCAAGTTGTGACAACTGCGGGAGACGGGGCCACCGCACGCAAGACTGCTACATGAGGCGGCCAGGATCGGCGGGGCCCAAGAGCAAGGAGGAGCTGGAGATCCAGCTGCGCCAGCTGCAGGCAAGAATCCGAGAAATGGAGGGGGGAGCGCAGAAGGAGGCTGCGATGCTGGCCAAGGGGGAGGACGAGGGTGAAGGGAGCGAGGTCGAGTTCGTGCTGATGGTGGGGGCCCCTCGGCAGAGAGAGGGGATACGACTGCGCAGCGACGGGTGGGATCCGGTCGAGCCTCCCGCAAGAGTGGTCCGAAGGTTCAGAGGATATGCGGCGGAGCCGGAACAAGAGATGACGGCAGAAAGGCATCCCAGGGAGAGGATGGTCTGCCAGCCCTCCGTCTTGACGATAGAGAAGGGAGGGATCACCGTGGGCGGAGTGACGGTGGCGCACGCCATCATTGACACCGGGGCGCATCACATCCTGCTGGGTAAAGGGCTGGCGCAGAAGCTAGAGCTGGATCAGCCAAATAGGCTGACAAATCGGGGGATTCTGGTGATGACCGCGGAAGGCGGGGAGCCGAAGTGGATGCCCAGCACTCGGATGCCGGTGGAAGTAATTTTGCAGCCGGGAACAAAGAATGAGTGCCGCATCAGGGTGAGGGGCGGGGTGACGCCATCGGAGGACTATGATCGGCTCATCGGGATGGAGCTGCTGTACCGCATTGGCGCCACCATATGCACCTGGCAGGAGAAGGTGCTCTACCGGGCACAGTATTGGCGTGACGATAGCCCGGTGGGCACGCTGCCAGTGCATTTCATGAAGCGGGAGCCACGGGAGGCCTTCAGCGCAAGGATGGCTGAGATGGAGGAGCGCCTGGAAGATTGGTCCTGGAAGCAGTACGTGCTGGAAAGGGAAACAAGGCTGGTGGAGGAAGAACGGAGCCCTCGCCCTCTGGTACTGCCACCGCGCCTCACCGACCTTGAAAGGCTACAGCAGCCCCTGACGGTTGTAGAGCTCTTCGGCGGAATAGGCACAGGCCTAGCGGCAGCCCTGAAGGCGGGATGCCAGGTGAATAAGTGGGTGCTGGTGGAGCTGGATCCGGTGGTACGCCGCATGGCGATGCAGCACGCCAGGAGGCTGCGAACACTATACCCATCACAGCTCATGAGTG